GGATACACCCTGTGTGTATGGTACAATGGGGGATACACCCTGTGTGTGGTACAATGGGGGATACATCATGTGTGATACCCTGACCTTAGCCAGCCACAGCACCCTCTCTCATCCTGCTTCCCTGCAGTGTTTTGCACCTACCTTTAGAAATTCCAGACGGCGGGACAGGAAGCGTTGACTGAGGTTAGTGAGCCTCCGGTACACAATCCTCCAGACAACGTAGTTGGCAATTGTTCTGTGATGGGGCAATAGAATTAGATAATTATTTCATTCAGGACGATTGGGGTGTAACTAAGGCACTAAAATCGCATCTATAATTACCCGAGGAGCCCAAACTGGAATAGTAGTTGGTAAATCTCGCATTATGGAATTGTACCTGTTATCCACTGAGTCTAGCAGCTGGAACAAGTCCTTGAAGTATTGCGGCACATATACTATGACCTCTTCTGACATGTTGATGTGTGAAAGTTCGGGGTAAAGATCGGTATCGATGACCAGCTTCATATAACGCAGCCAATCAAACTGAGAACACAAGAACATTCATCAGCAGCGATTGCAATGTTGGCACATTGTAACCTGAATGAGATACAGCAGCTGCAGCTGAGCTGCCAGAGGGAAGCGAGAGCTCTACACAGCCCACATGGTTTCTGTACACGCCCGGAATCTCAGGCATTATCTGTCCTCTCCAATAAACCCAACAACCTGACAGCTGACAACCTGGAGATTTCAGGGAATCTCGCAGCAAGCAAAGTGCCTAGAGGAGTACAAGTACGCAACTGGGAATGGGAGATGGGAAAAGGCAGCAGAACACTGGGACTAGGGGTGGGGGAACGGGTCTATACACTGGGAGTGGGGCTGGAAGTTGGGGGCAATAAATATGAGGGGCTATAATTCTAAAGGGGGTACAGGAGCTGATGGACCTGCGTGTCTATGTTCACAGATCACTAAAGGTGGAGGGACAGCTGAAGACAGAAGTGAATAAAGCATTCAGTGTCCTTGGCTTTATTAACAGGGGCATAGAGGGACAAAAGCAGGGAGGCAATGTTGAACTTGTACAAGAGACTTGTTAGACCTCAGCTGGAGTATTGTGTACAGTTCTGGGTGCCCCATTATAGCAAAGAAGAGAACACATTGGACAGAGAGAGTGCAGATGTGACATATAGGCCAGCAAGCTTTACATCAGTGGTAGGGAAAATATTGGAGAAGATTCCTACAGACAGGATTTACTCACATTTGGAGATGGATGGACTTATGAGGGAAAGTCAGCACAGCTTTACGGGGGAGATCTTGTCTCACAATCTTGATTTAAGTTTTTTTTGAGGAAGTGATAAAGGTGAATGATGAAGGCAAGGCAGTGAATATTGTCTACATGGACTTTACTAAAGTATTTGACAAGTTCCCACATGATAGGTCTAGAAGATTAAGTCACATGGGTTCCATGGTGAGTTGGTACGTTGGACACAAAATTAGCTTGGTCGTAGAAGACAGAGAGTAGTTGTGGAGGGGTGTTTTTCTGACTGCTGACTGTAACCATTGGTCTTCCACAAGGATTAGTGCTGGGACTCCTGTTGCTTGTAATTTATGTAAATGATGTGGATGAAAATGTAAGTGGTCTGATTGGAAAGTTTGAAGTCAACATGAAAATTGGTGGAGTTGTGGATAGTGAGGAAGGTTATCAAAGAATGTAGCAGGATACAGACCAGTTGAAATATTGTGCAGAGAAATGGCAGATGGAGTTTAATGAGGGCAAGTGTGAGGCAGTGCATTTTGGGGGGTAAAATGCAAGAGGAAAGTATACAGTAAATGCCAGGACCCTTAGGGGTACAAATCATAGTTCCCTGAAAGTGGCAAAACAAGTGGAATTGGTGGTAAATAAGACTTACAGCATACTTCCCTTCATCTGTTGGGGCATTAGGTATAAAAGTTGAACAAGTCATGTTGTAACTGTGTAAAAGTTTAGTTAGGCCACAATTGGAGTATTGTGTGCAGTTCTGCTCCTCACACTATAGGAAGGATATGGTGGCATTAGCGAGGGTGCAAGAGAGGTTTAACAGATGTTGCCTGGATTGGTGTATATTAGCTATTAGGAGAGGTTGGACAAACTTGGATTGTTTTCGCTAGAGTATCAGAGGCTGAGGGGCGACCTAATAGACACATATAAAATTATGAGAAGTATGGATGGAGTGGAAATGTCAAATACTAGGGGACCTTGATTTAAAAGTGCAAGGGGGAAATGTTTAAAGGACATGTGTAAGGAAAGGTTTGTTTTACACAGAGGGTGGGAGGTGCCTGGAACGTGCTGCAAGGGGAAGTGGTAGAAGCAGAGACGATAGCAACATTTAAGAGGCATTTAGACAGACTTGTGAACAGGCAATGGCCCAATGGTATTATCATTAGACTGTTAGTCCAGACACTCAGCTAATGGTCTGGGGACCCAGGTTCAAATTCTACCACACCACTGAATTAATAAATCTACTGACGACCATGAAACCGTTGTCAATTGTTGTAAAAACGCAAATGGGTCACTAGTGTCCTTCAGGGAAGGAAATCTGCCACCCTCATCTGGTCTGGCCTACACGTCACTCCAGACCCACAGCAATGTGGTTGACTCTCAACTGCCCTCTGAAACGGCCTAGCAAACCACTCAGTTGTACCAATCGCTACAAAGTCTCAAAGAAATAAAACTGGACGGATCACCTGGCATCGACCTAGGCACCAGAAAAGACAACGGCAGAAACAGCCCTGTCAACTCTGCAAAGTCCTCCTCACTAACATCTGGGGGTTAGTGCCAAAATTGAGAGCTGTCTCACAGACTAGTCAAGAAACAGCCTGACATAGCTATACTCACAGAATCATACCTCACAAACAATGTCCCAGACACCACCGTCACCATCCCTGGATATGTCCTGTCCCACCGGCATAAGTCTCATGGGCATCAGGTTAAACATGGGCAAGGAAACCTCCTGCTGCTTACCACATACTGTCCTCCCTCAGCTGATGAATCAGTACTCCTCAATGTTGAACAACATTTAGAGAAAGCACTGAGGATGGCGAGGGCACAAAATGTACCCTGGGTGGGGGATTTCAATGTCCACCACCAAGAGTGGCTCAGCAGCAGTACTACTGATCGAGCTGGTCAGGTCCTAAAGGACACAGCTGCTAGACTGTGGAACCAACAAGAGGGAAAAACATACTTGACCTCATCCTTACTAATCTGCCAGTTGCAATTACATCTGTCCAGCCTTCACATTGAGAATAACTTCCAACGTGTTGTGTGGCATTATCACCATGCTAAGTGGGACAGACTTCACACAGTTCTAGCAACTCATCTGGGTATCCATCAGGCCAGCGGAACAACCATGGTTCAATGGAGAGTGCAGGAGGGCATGCTAGAAGCAGCACCAGGCATACCTGAAGATGGTGAAGCTACCAAACAGGACTATTTGCACGCCAAACAGTGAAAGCAGCAAGCGATAGACAGAGCTAAGTGATCCCACAACCAAGGGATCAGATCTAAGCTCTGCAGTCCTGCCACATTCAGTCGTGAATGATGGTGGACAATTAAACAACTCACTAGAGGAGGAGGCTCCACAAATATCCCCATCCTCAATGATGGAAGAGCCCAGCACATCAGCGCAAAAGATAAGGCTGAAGCATTCGCAGCAATCTTCAGCCAGAAGTGCCGAATGGATAATCCATCTCGGCCTCCTCCAGTGCTCCCCAGCATCACAGATATCAGTCTTTAGCCAATTCAATTCACTCCACGTGATATCATGAAATAGTTGGAGGTACTGGATACTGCAAAGGCTATGGGCTCTGACAACATTCTGACAAGGAACTGAAGACTTGTGCTGCAGAACTTGCCGCTCCCCTAGCCAAGCTGTTTCAGTACATTTACAACACTGATATCTACCCGACAATGTGGAATATTACCCAGATATGTCCTGTACATAAGAAGCAGGAGAAATCCAATTCGGCCAAATACTGCCCTATCAGTCTACTCTCGATCATCAGTAAAGTGATGGAAAGCATCATCAACATTGCTATCAAGCAGCACCTGCTCAGTGACGCCCAGAAACAAAAACAGAAGTTGCTGGAAAAGCTCAGCAGGTCTGGCAGCATCTGTGAAGAGAAATCAGAGTTAACATTTCAGGTCCAGTAACCCTTCCTCAGGACAGTTCTGAGGAAGGGTCACTGGACATGAAACATTAACTCTGATTTCTCTTCACAGATGCTGCCAGACCTGCTGAGCTTTTCCAGCAACTTCTGTTTTTGTTTCTAATTTACAGCATCTGCAGTTCTTTTGGTTTTTATTCAGTGACATCCAGTTTGGGTTGTGCCAGGGCCACTCAGCTCCTGACCTCATTACAGCCTTGGTTCAAACATGGACAAAAGAGCTGAATTCCTGAGTGCGGTGAGAGTGACAGCCCTTGATGTCAGAGCTGCATTTGACCGAGTGTGGCATTGAGGAGCCCTGGCAAAACTGGAATCAATGGGTGTCAGGGAGCAAACTCTCAGGTGGTTGGAGTCATACCTGACACATAGGAAGATGGTCGTGGTTGTTGCAGGTCAGTCATCTCAGCTCCAGGACATCCCTACTGGAGTTCCTCAGGGGAGTGTCCTTGGCCCAACCATCTTCAGCTGCTTCATCAATGAGCTTCCCTCCGACATAAGGTCAGAGGTGGGGACATTCGCTGATGATTGCACAATGTTCAGCACCATTCATGACTCCTCAGATACTGAAGCAGTCCATGTTCAAATGCAGCAAGATCTGGACAATATCCAGGCTTAAGCTGACAAGTGCACATAACCTGCACCATCACCAATAAGAGACAATCCAACCATCACCCTTTGACATTCAGTGCTGTTACTATCGCTGAATCCCCCACTATCAACATCCTAGGGGTTATCATTGACCAGAAACTAAACTGGACTCACCACATAAACACCGTGGCTACAAGAGCAGGCCAGAAGCTGGGAATACTGTGGCAAGTAACTCACCTCCTGACTCCCCAAAGCCTGTCCACCATCTGCAAGGCACAAGTCAGGAATGTGATGGAATACTCCCCACTTGCCTGGATGAGTGCAGCTCCAACAACACTCAAGAAGCTTGACACCATCCAGGACAAAGCAACCCGCTTGACTGGTACCACATCCACAAGCATCCACTCCCTCCACCACTGACACTCAGTAGCAGCAATGTGTACTATCTACAAGATGCACTGCAGAAATTCACCAAAGACCCTCAGACAGTACCCTCCAAACCCACGACACTTCCATCTAGAAGGACAAGGGCAGCAGTTACATGGGAACACCACCACCTGCAAATTCCCCTCCGAGCCACTCACCATCCTGACTTGGAAATATATCACTGTTCCTTCACTGTCCCTGGGTCAAAATCCTGGAATTCCCTCCCCAAGGGCATTGTGGGTCAACCCACAGCAGGTGGACTGCAGTGGTTCAAGAAGGCAGTTCACCATCACCTTCTCCAAGGTAAGTAATTAATGAATGCTGGCCCAGCTGGTGCCAACCATATCCCATGAGTGAATAAAAAAAAGACAGGGCATAGAGGGGTATGGACCATGTGCAGACAGATGGGATTCGTTTAGAATGGCATCATGATCAACACAGACATAGTGGGCCGAAGGGCCTGTTCCTATGCTGTACTGATCTTTGATTCGAAGAATGGTTACAGAGATGAGATACTTCAGTGATGAGGATAGATTGGAGAATTCGGGGTTGGTTTCTTTGGAGGGAAAGCACATGAGAGGAGATCTGATAGACCTTTTCAAAACCACGAGCTGGCCTGGATAGAGTAAGTCAATAATGGGGAAGCTGCTCCTGCTTGGAAAAGAAAACAGAGTGAGAGTGCACAGATTTGAAAGCGATGTGTAAATGAAGCATGGGTGATGGGAGGATAAACTTTTTCACACAGCAAGTAGTAAGGCTCTGGATTGCACTGCCAGATGCAAGAAGGAAATGGTGCCACGGATATAGATTCCAACATTTTAGCCATCATGGTGTGATTGTACACATTAACTGCTTCACCAATGGTCACTGTGAGCCGCGCGTAGTTCTGAGCGTAGTGATGGAACCTTAAGCAGCAGGGGGTGATAGTGATGCCCCTTTTGGCACTTGCACCCCATGTGTGAGGGCGGTGGGCATCTCATTGAGAATTCTAGTTGCTCGGTCTACTCGATCATGTGCCTGTAAGCAGAGTTAGAGTTCAGAGACCGATCTTTCTCTTTATTCTTTCATGAGTCGTGGGCACTGCCCGTGTTATATGCTGGATCCTCAGTATAGCTCAGCATGGTAACAAGAGCCATCCTGTAAGTTTGCTCCTGCCATCCTCTGCCTTGGTAAGGATCGAGAGGATGTGCTCAGCCGAGTGGGATGGGAAGAATTATTTGGCCATCTAACAAGAAGTAGCTCTTGCTTTAAACAAGATGTAGTCAACCACACAATTGCAAATCCATTGCTATGATAGACCTTGTCATTGAGACTATCAGGGAGATCTCGGCACTGGGTCTTCCACCTTCAGAACCACAGTTGTTCCCCTGTCCAAGTTTGAGTGACATCATTATGTTGGGTGGCACTTAATACACCCTTTAAATTAACCCTTTCAGACCCTTATACTCGCACATAACAACTGGCAAGGCCAACATTTACTGTCTGTCCCTAATTACCCTTGAATTGAGTGTCTTGCTAGGCCATTTCAGAGGGCAGCTAAGAGTCAACCACATTGCTGTGCGTCTGGAGTCACATGTAGGCCAGACCGGGTAAGGACGGCAGTTTCTTTCCCTAAAGGATATTAGTGTCATGATCACATCACAAACTACTTTTTAGATCCAGATTTATTAACTAAATTTAATTTGCACCAGCTGTTTTAGTGGGATTCGAACCAGTAGGCCCCAGAGAGTTAACCTCTAGATTCTTTGTTACAGCATTACTGTTTATCTATCTCCTACTTCCTGTGGCATACCCTCAGGCTAATTCATTGCTGCTGCCAACTTCTACAGAAGGCCTGGCCTATCCATCTCCCACCTCTGGGCTACTCCCGATTGGGCCCTGAATCCACTTGGTGGGCCAATCAGGTATTAGTCCTCCGAAAGTAGCATCCCATTCCTGACCCGGGACAGGGTGGGAAGCTGGGAACTCCCTTGGCATCAGGGCTTGGAGTCCAACTTCTTGGTGCAAATCAAACCAACAGGCAACAAGGCAGTCACTGGGCTGTAGCTGGGGGGTTCACTGCATGTCCATGGACCACAGGATTACTTACTACATCAGTCAGGGATGGTATTATGATAAACTGAACAGTGTGGGAAACGATGGGAGACACATTTGAACCTTCTTCCTCACGTAAATATCATTGCAATGTGATAGAGTATCCACACATTAGCAATGGATCATGCACTGAAACGGTCACATACCTGTGGGACGGTTTCTTGTAACTTGAGCACACTAAGTTTATTGTAGAGAGCCTCACTGGTCCTGTTACTGTGTGGAATCAGAATCTGCAAAGAGCAAATTGTATGGAATTGTAACTAACTGTTGAGACATCGCATGATCAATACAATGTTCTCACTAACGTTTTGTGTAAGTACTGACTATAGTTGGCCTGTTAAGGTGTTTTCCTTTCTCAGAATTGTGCTGAGCACTTTTGAGGTACAGTCAGAGATCTTAGTGTTACAATCCAGGAAATGCTCCAAATTCTTTGTGTGATGTGAACAAGCTTTATCCTCCCCACCGACCCCCCATGCCCCCACCAGTATGTTCCTGTGAAAGTGAAGGATAAGGACAGCAAGGTTCAGGAACCTCAGGTGGTGAGTCTAGACCGGGTCAGGTTGATATTCTAGGGCATGTAAATACAGAAAAGGAGGAGTGTTGGGTGTTTTGAAAAGCATTGAGGTAGACAAGTGCCCGGGACCTGAAGGGACCTATCGCAAAATGCTGAGGGAGGCAGGTGAGGATATTGATGAGGAAATTTCTTGTACAAAATCTTTCGTCACAGGAGAGTTCCCAGAGGACGACAGAATAGCCAACGTTGTTCCTTTGTCTAAAAAGGGCAACAGGGATAATCCGGGAAATTGCAGGCCAGTGAGCCTTCCATCAGTGGTAGGGAAATTACTGAGGAAGATTGTTAGGGACAGGATTTTCTTACATTTGGAAAATATGAACTCATTAGCGATAGGCAGCATGGCTTTGTGTGGGGAAGGCCATGTCTCACAGACTCGATGTTTGTGTTTTTTGAGGAAGTGACAAAGATTATTGATGACGGCAGGATGGTCAATATTGTCTACACGGACTTTAGCAAGAGAACTTTGACAAGGTCTCTCATGACAGGCTGATACAAAAGGTGAAGCCACATGGGAACCACAGTGAGCTGGTAAGTTGGAAGCAGAACTGACTTGGTCACAGAAGACAGAGAGTAGCAGGGGAAGGGTGTTTTTCAGACTGGGGTTTGTGGCTAGTGGTGTTTCGTAGGGATCAGTCCTGGGACTTCTGTTGTTTGTAATATATATATAAATGATTTGGAGGAGAATGTAGGTGGGCCTGGTTAGTAGAGGCATAGTGGCCTCTCAGCACCAGGGACCCAGGTTCAATTCCAGCCTTGGACGACTGTGTGGAGTTTGCACATTCTCCCCGTGTGTGGGTTTCCTCCGGGTGCTCTGGTTTCCTCCCACAGTCCAAAGATGTACAGGTTAGGTGGATTGGCCATGCTAAATTGCTCTGTAGCGTATGTGCAGGCTAAGTGGTTTGGACACGGTAAATGCGGGGTTACAGGGATAGGACGGGGTGTCAGGGTGGGCGCTTCCTTAATGGGCCAAATGGCCTCTTTCTGCACTGTTGGGATTCTATGATTCTGGGGGAGCTGTGGATAGTGAGAAGGATTGCCAGAGGATACAGCAGGATATAGAGAGGCTGGAGACTTGGGCGGAGAAATGGCAGATGGAATTTAATCTGGACAAATGAGAGGTGATGCACTTTCGGAAGGTCCCATGCTGGAGGGAAGTATACAGTAAATGGCAAAACCCTTAGAAGCAGAGGAATCGAGGCAGATAGGTCCACAGTCCCCTGAAATTGGCAACACAAGTGGATAAAGAGGTCAAGAAGGCATATGGCATGCTTACCTTCATCAGTCAGGGCAAGTGTGGGGATAAGAATTATACTATAGAGAGGGGTGTCATCACATATCTGCATTTGGCAGTGCACCCCCTCCCTTGGTCTGAATAAGAAGGTCAGTAAAACCAAGGGCAGGAGTTTAGCCAGCTCAGCAGAACAGCATCAGCTGAAAGTGGGAGTGTAGCTCGGGCAGGTGGGGACCTCTCCCAGCAGGATCTATAGTGACCGTGAATTGATGTGGCCCTCTCATCCTGAAACCTGGACCTGTGTGGGCCAACACACTCCACACCTTCAGTGGAAGTTGGTGTGAGGAGCCTCCAGTCACTGCTCTGTGTAATTTGTGCCTCATTGGAGCTCTCATATGCTCAACCTGTTTTAGAGCCTTCTGACTGATTCAAACCAATGTAAAAAGAAAATAAAAGCAAAATAATCCAACTAAATCCACACTTGCAAATCTTATTAACACACCGCCTGCCATTCTCACCCTTTCACTGAAATAGGCCTCAAAATGTGCTGAGGGTATTGTAAAGATTATGGATTAGAATCTGAGACCTGGAGGGAGATATTGTATACTGGGCTACTTCTGACGGTGTTAAATATATTAATGAGATAGTGTACACCATCACAAGAAGCAACATATTGCCACATGATCTTGCTCTCCCTGGTAGCACCTGGTGTTAAGTGGTAGACCCATTAAGAGACACTTTAATACCTTCCTTATCTCAGCCGACTCTATAACGGTCCTCTATTAGCACAACAAAACCAAGAATGTACAGCCATGATGTTGCGTGAAGTGTGCAATGTACTAACTACATTCCTATTTCATACCCTGTGGCTGGGTCCAGGAGACAGAGTGGTAAATATTACTGGAATCTGATGAAGTTGGGTCAAATATTACCTTTTTTATTTAAACACAGTAAAGTTATCTCCCGATAAAGATCTCACCTCTGCCACCAGACCCTTCGAAAGAACCATTTCCTAGTGGTCATGTGAGCCTATGACATGTCTCAATGATGTAAACGATCTATTTTCAAATTAACCCTTGACACTACATCACCCCCTCGCCACCCATCCACCTCCAAAGTCTCTGACTCTACCCGTTTCATTACATCTCACTGTTTACGTATTTTTTGTTGAAATGTTTCATCGCGTGCTCATCAGGACAATTTGCAAGAAATACCAAGGTAACCGGAACACATCGTTTCACACGGTTTGCAAAGGAGGTGTTGGCTGGTTGTGGCATTTTCCATAGAAATGATACTACCAATCCGAGTCCAGCTGCCAACCAATCAGCACTCTCTCATGCACTTTGAACGTTGATTTCTTTTTACTTTGGCATTCTTGCCAATGGTCCTGATGAGTGAAAAATGAAAGGCTTTGACAAACATCCTCCAGCCATACTCTGGTCTGTACTACCAGGCGATTCGTAACATACATCCCCTTATCCTACGCTCCTCACCTCACAACTATTTTGTTTGGTTTTAGAAAAGGCGTAACATGTTTCTGATAACTGTGGCGTTCGCTCTGTTTTGTTGCTTGGCTGTCACACTGACCTTTGCGACCTTGGTCTCAAACTCCAGGACGGATTGCATGTCAATCTGAGCTGTGGTTCTATTAGCTCCGAGGAGGACTGCGATATCAATCATCAGCTGCAGCAGGGCACGCCGAGACTGAAAAGAGAGAGTGTCAGACAGAACAGTTTCCAGGCGCCAGACCATCTACATTGTCTCGAACATTTCCGGCTACGAACAGCAACTGATTATAAAGATTCTGGGTTCATTCTCCAATTTTGCCATAGCCAGGTTCACGTTAGGAGGTGCTGCAGACCCAACACGACGGAAATATTTCCAACACCTCCTTCCTTTCTCTATAATCTCCGTCAGCCCCCTGAACACGCATTCTACCTCCAACATAGTTGGCCAAGCCTTCAACATCTTAGCTTCAGTTTCCTCCCTAACACTCTTAATCTCTCCCTCCCTCTCTAAGGCACACCTTACATTCTGACTTTCACATGAGTGAAATAAAACCTCAAGAAGTTGTATAAAATAGCAATGGCTACAAGAGCAGGTCACAATGAAGGAATACCGCAGCAAGTAACTTGTCTCCTGACTCCCCAAAGCCACCTTTGAACTGCTGGCCTTCAGGTGAATGTTCCCTTAGGGAGAGAATTCCAGGATTGTGACCCAGCGACCATGAAGGAACGGCAATATATTTCCAAGTCGGGATGATGAGTGGCTTGGAGGGGAACTTGCAGGGTGTGGTGTTCCCATGTAACTGCTGCCCTTGTCCTTCTAGATGGAATTGGTCATGGGTTTGGAAAGTGCTGTCTGAGGATTTTTGGTGAATTTCTGCAGTGTATCTTGTGGATAGTACACACTGCTGCTACTGAGCGTCGGTGGTGGAGGGAGTGGATGCTTGTGGATGTGGTGCCAATCAAGCGGCTGCTTTGTCCTGGATGGTGTTGAGTGTTGTTGGGGCTGTATCCATCCAGGGAAGTGGGGAGTATTCCATCACACTCCTGACTTGTGCCTTGTAGATGGTGGACAGGCTTTGAGGAGTCAGGAGATGAGTTACTTGCCACAGTATTCCCAGCTTCTGGCCTGCTCTTGTAGCCACTGTGTTTATGTGGTGAGTCCAGTTTAGTTTCTGGTCAATGATGACACCCAGGATGTTGACAGTAGGTGATTCAGTGATGGTAACACCATGGAATGTCAAGGGGCGGTGGTTAGATTGTCTCTCATTGGTGATAGTTATTGCCTGACATTTGTGTGGCGTGCACATTTCAAATGTTGCCTTTTGTCATCTTCTCATTAAATTACAAGCAGTTACAATACTCCCTTAATTGACTTAAGACACAACATCAATTAATCTCTGTATCCCAGCAGCAATGAAAAGAGACTCACCTTTTCTGCCTCAGTGCTGTTAGTCAGATAGTCTTCCTCAGACGGTAGAAACACCGATGCTTGGTCCAGCTGTTTGTAAATAGAGACAATGAATAATATCAGACTCAGACCCATCTCTGGTCAAACACACCACTGGTTGTTAGAGGACTCTCTGACGTTTTGCATCTACAAAATAATTGCAGCATTTTAAATGTTGTTCATTTACTTCCATAGGACTGAAGGTATTGGGTGTTGCCATTTCATTAGTAACACACTGGGCTCTGATTCGAAACGGACGATTTAAGAAGTCCCACAAACAGTGATGTCAACTTGCCAACCAATCCACACCCTTCATTTACGCTGAACAAATTCCCTTTGAAATTTGGTATTCTTGCAGTGTAAACCTGATGTGTGCAGAAACAAAAAAACTTTGAGGGCATGCATCTGTCTACAGCAATAATCAAATGGTGATAGAATAAAAACAACATAATCTGACACTCAATGCTAATGATTCTGTATAAATTGACTGTTTATTAGGAGGAACACTTCCTGGGCATGTTGAGTTACAGTCTCAGAACAGTCAATGTCAGAACATTACCTGGCAGGAATAAAGCAAACAATTTGGAATTACACAGACTAACAATAAAATTCTCATTACCTATTTTTAAATCTGTGTAGTCTTTATCCAATTGCAGATTCTTGAGTCTAGCCCCTCTTTTAGTAAATGTAAAACAGGCTTCCGACAATTCAGTAAATGATTTAAATAAATAATCAGAAAATAAGATTCTCAGTGCCTAATGTGGAGAAGTAATTGTCATATTTACTTTAAGGGCATTGTGATAATGAACATTAAAAGTTCTGATTAAAAAACTTAAGAAAAACATCATTACCCAATGTGGGACTCGCAAAAGGGATTGACAGTCCCATTACGCACCAATTGAGGTATCCGAGCTGTGTAGAAGCTCTCTGCATAAAACCTTAACTCATTGGATCTAGCCTAAGGAGGACCTTAACATTCATTTCAATATCTATGCAGGTCAATCCACGCCCTGTCTATATCAATGGTGTTGAGGTGGAGATGGTCAAGAGTGTCAGGTTCCTGGGAGTGACGATCACCAACAATCTGTCCTGGTCCACCTACATTGTTGCAACAGTCAAGAAAACACAACAATGGCTCTACTTCCTCAGGAGGCTAAGGAAATTTAACATGTCCATAAAGACTCTTGCCGATTTTTATAGATGTACCATAGAAAGCATCCTCTTTGGATGCGTCACAGCTTAGTATGGCAACTGCTCTTCCCAAGACCATAGAAATTACAGAGAGTTGTGAACACAGCCCAGTCCAATCTACATTTCTCGCTGCCTCAGGAAGGCAGCCAACATCATCAATGATTCCTCCCAGCCTGGTTATCATTTCTTCCAACCTCCTCCATCAGGCAGAAGATACAAAAGTTTAAACACACATTCAAGAGGTTCAAAAAAAGTTTCCTCCCCATTGTTACCAGACTTCTGAATGGACTTTTCAAATTTCAAATCTAATGTTGATCTTGCTTTTTGTGCATTTTCTTTGCGGCTATAACTTTGTATTCCTTAGTCGTTTAATCACCCTATGATCTTTGTATGTTATGATCTGCCTATACTGTACACAAAACAAAACATTTCACTGTACTGAAGTACATGTGACAGTAATAAATCAAATCAAATCAATTAGTAAGACCTTCAGACAGGGATTTAGAATCAGTGATACACCGACAGTGAACACTTTAAACAAGGTCTAATCCCTACGCCGCCATCTCGAAGCGTATCAGGACAAGTTACTGTCAGAGCTGGGTGCTCACACATGATTCCCAACCCCTTTCCATTTGTCATCAGGAGCTGTGGTGGGATAAATATTGGCCAGAATGCCGAGAATAACACAACTCCACCTCATTCTGAAGTCGAGAGTCAAAGGTTATTTCAACAAAAGGGAGACCCTATGATTCACCAGTCCGGTGTCTAAACATGGCACCACAATTTGAAGACGGCATGGGCTGAAGTGCCCCGTTTCCTAGGCATTTTGCACTGAAGATCATTTCCTGGAGAGACAGGCAGAGAGAGAGAGATAGGAGGAGAGTGAGAGAGGGAGAGGGAGAGGGAGAGGGAGAAGGAGTGCGAGAGTGTCACAGCCATTCCCTACAACCTTTTCTCCCACCTCAGCCAGCCTTCAATCCCATCCAAGATTTCTCTCTTTGGTAACTATTGTCATCTGGTGCTATTGTGCTCAGTGGTTTAATTGACCTGTGTTCGATTTTGTTAGTCTGTTGATTGATCTATGTTCGCTGTGCTTGATTGCTTAAGCTTGGGAGAGGCCACTGGGAGAAACGTAAACAGAGACTTTCAGAGAAAGACCCAAAAATTCAAAGCTTTAGAGCAATATTTCAAAACTGAAGAGCTATTTTAAAGCACTAAGTAAAACGGTTGTAGATTTACAACGTGTCCCCTCAGCGCTAGTCTGAGTTAAATGAGATCGACATAAAATACACAAACAAACTGGCACTCACTGACCTTGAAGATGTGCTCGTTGGAGTTTTTGTCATCAGTTGCAACAAAGAATTGAATGAAGATATTGCTGCTGAATTTTCCACGGAGGAAAGCTAACATCTCCAGTAGGTTAAAGTCCTCCTCTCTCCACGTTCCCTCAGGCCCATTGTTGGCCTCCAGCACTGGCCAGCGTAAATATGGCTGCTTCAGAAACTTCAGCAAAGGTCTGGCATCCTCCAGCTCAATAGCGCCTAACCACAGAGCAAAAGAGAGAAAGGTGGACAGTGGGGAAGGAGGGGTTGAGCTCACCCATGCAAAAGGTCGCTGACGGCGATATTGGGATCGCATGCAAGACTGATGCACATCAGACCTGGATCCACCCCACACCACACCCCCACCCCATACATACCCCTTTCTCACACACCCATACTCCCTGATTCCCACAGAGCCCCACCCCACACCCAACAATCCCTCCCCTCACACCTCCAACATACGACAGCCTCCTCCAGCCCCCTCCTCCAAACCCTCCCAGCCCCCGGAGAACATGCAAATTCCACACAGATAGTTTCTTGTGCATGGAATCGAACCTGGGTCCCCACCGCAATGAGGCAGCAGCACTAACCACTGAGCCACCGTGCCAACGGGCTTTGAACAGGCCTGGGATATTTTTTTTCTTTATTCTATCATAGGGATGTGGGTGTTGCCAACACTGGTTGCCCTTCCTTAATTGCCCTTGGACTGAGTGGCCTGTTTGTCAGGGCCATGTCAGTGGGCAGTTAACCTCACTGAGGCCTGGAGTCAGTGTAGGCCAGACCAGGTGAAAATAGCCAATTTCCCTCCCAGGCAGCTTCACAACAATTGATGCTACTCACTATCACCGAGAATGGCTTCTTCCAGCATAGACGCATCCAGTGTGTTTAAATTCCACAGCTGGAATGTGAACCAATGTCGCAGAATAATACACTGGATCACAAATACAATTTGATTTACCATGACACCACTATCTCCCTACTGTGTATCTGTCAGTTGTATCATGGGTGATTTACCCTTTCGCTATAGACCAGTAAAGACTAAGCATCCACAACATCCACAACCCGAGCTACAAATCTACTCTAAAACCTTAGAGACTAAGCATCCAAATGCTTCATTTCGTTGACGTTTAGATTAAACCAAGGTCACAATGTGTCTATCTGAACACAACACTGATAAACACTTGAAGCATCCAATGTGAGGATTTAACATAAGTACAGTAAACAGCCACACACTGGTATCATCAAGACTCTCTCTGGGTATTTGCATTAATTTGTACACCTTGGCCAGGACTGTATCAATGGTGCTGAGTTGGAGATGATAGAGAGCTTCAAGTTCCTAGGAGTGATGATCACCAACAATCTGTCCTGGTCCATCCACATCGACTCGACAGTCAAGAAAACACACCAACGCCTCCACTCCCTCAGAAGGCTAAGGAAATTCGACATGTCCACAAGGACTCTTACCAACTTTTATAGATTCACCATAGGAAGCATCCCATCCAGATGCATCACAGCCTGGTAAGACTGCAAGAAACTACAGAGAGTTGTGAATGCTGCCCAGTCCATCACACAAACCAACCTTCTTTCCATTGACTCCTGCTACACTACCTGCTGCCTCAGGAAAGCAGCCAACATCATCAAAGACGCCTACCACACCAGTTATACTCTTCCACCCTCTTCCATCAGGCAGAAGGTATAAAAGTTTGTAAATACATAGCAACAGATTGAAGAACAGCTTCTTCCCTGCTGTTATGAGGCTTTTGAATGGACCTCTCATATATTAGAGTTGATCTTTCTCTGCACCTTCTCCGCAGCTGTAACACTACATTCTGCATTCTGTTCTATTACCCTGGTGAACGTATTTAAGGTATGACTTGTCTGGATAGCAGGCAAGGCAATACTTTTCACTGTATCTCAGTACATGTGACAATAACAAATCAAATCAAATCAAAATGAAAGTACTCACTCTCGTTCATGCATGACTGATAAAGTAGCTTTGTCTTCTGCACCACTTCAACGTCCTTTTCTTCATCAATTGGGGCTTCCAACAGCTCTGCAGAAAGAGAGACGGATCATTCACAAGGATAAAAAGTTGCTTAATATCCTGGTTGCTTAATATCCTTAATTGCCCTGGTTTCCTGGGCTCAGCTGACATAGAAAAGACCCTCTTTTCTCACTCACTGCCCTGACAACAGCTACAGAACTGCTGGACGGCGGAGGCTCACTGAGAAGCACATATCTGCTGCAGGATGCTCAGTCTTAGATCAGCCATAGCCTCATCACACGGCACCATGGGCTCAAGGGCTGAATGGCCTCCTCCTGACATTTAAGGGGTGAGAAAGACAGGGACGTGGAACCAGAGTCACTAAGCCTTGGTCCAGTTCTTCTCTTGTTCCAGCTGAGAGAATGTCAGTCCACGTAGGTGCAAATGGAGATAAATGGATACGATCTCACAGCCATTACAGAAACATGGTTACAAGGAAATTGGAAACTTAATATTCAAGAATATGTGACCTTTCAGAAAGGCGGGATGTAAATGAGAGGAATAAGTTGAAAGATAAACCATATAAAGAGGCCAAAGTGAGTAATAGCCCCAAAGACTGAGGTAAATTCAGAATCCAGCAAAGGAGGACTAAACAGATAATAAAGAGAGAGAGAAAATACTACAAGAGCAAACTAGTGAGGAATATAAAAACTGACAATAAGAGCTTCTTTAAATACATAAAAAGGAAGAGAGAGGTCAAAGCTAACATAGACCCCTTAGAAAATGAATCTGGGGAGACAGGCTATGGGAAACAAGGAAATGACAGGGGAATTGAACAGATAGTTTGTATCAGTCTTTACTGTGAATGATACTTGGAATAGTCCATTAGTACTAAGGAATGTGGGGGAGGAAATAAAAATCTCACCATCACCAGAGAAGTAGTATTAGCCAACAAATGGAGCTACAGGAATATAAGTCCCCTGGTCCTGATGGCTTCCATTCTAGGATCTGAAAAGTAGTAGCTACAGAGACAGTGGATGTATTGATTGTGAATTTCTGAAAATCCTTAAATTCCAGAGAATTACTGGAAGACTGGAAAACTACCAATGTGACATTCCTATTCAAAAAAGGAGAGAGGCAAAAAGTAGGTAACTGTAGGATGATTAGCCAAACAGCTATTGTTGGAAAGAAGTTGGAATCAATTATTAAGGAAGTAATAGCAGGACATTTGGAAAATCATAATCTATTTGAGCAGGATCAGCATGGTTTCATGAAAGGTAACTCATTTCTGACTAATTACAGATTTTTGAGGAAATATCGACCAGAGTGGATAGCAGGGAACCAGTAGATGTGTTGCATTTGGACTTCTGGAAGATGTTCAGCAAGGTACCTCACAAAAGGTTAAGTCATAAGGTAAGAGCCCACAGTGTTGGAGGGAGCATATTGGCATGAAAGAGAATTGGCTAATGAGCAGGAATCAGTGAGTGGGAATAAGGAGTTCATTTTCAGTTGACGACCTGTGACCAGTGAGGTTCCACAGGGATCAGTGCTGGGACTACAACTGTTTACAATATATATTAAGGACTTGGAGGAAGGAAGTGAATGTACTGTTGCCAGATTTGCTGACAAAACAAACATAGGTGGAAAGGCAGGTTGTGACAGGGATACAAACAGAGATATTGATAAGCTAAGTAAATGGGAAAACAGCTGGAAAATGGAGTAAAATAAGGGAAAATGTAAAGTTGCACATTTAAGAAGGGAGAACAAAAGAAGAAAATATTATCAAAATGGAGAGAAACAGCAGAAAGCTGCAACACAAAGACACTTGGGGGTATTTGTGCACAAAACACAGAAAGCTAGCACACAGAGGCAGCAGATAATCAGGAAGGCTAATAGAATGTTGGCCCTTATTTCAAGGGGTTTGGAGTAAAAGAGTAGGGAAGTCTGACTGCAACTGTACAAGGTGCTGGTGAGACCACATCTGGAGCACAGAGCAGTTTTGTTCACCTTATTTAAGGAAAGATACCATTTCATTGGAGGCAGTTGAGAGAAGGTTCACCAGAATGATCCCTGGTATGGAGGGATTATTTTATGAGCAAAGCCTAAACAAGTTGGGACTGTAATCTCTGGAGTTTAGAAAAATGAGAGGTGATCTCATTGAAACATATCAGATTCTTAAGGGGCTTGACAGGGTAAATGCTGAGAGGATGTTTCCCCTCATGGGAGAGCCTAGGATCAGAGGGCATAGTCTCAGAATAAAGGAGCACCAATTTCAGACTGAGATAAGAAGAAATTTCTTCTCTCAGAGGGTTGAGAGTCATTGGAACTCCTTGCCACAGAGAGCGGTGGGGACAAGAATCATTGAGTATTAAGGCTGAGGTAGATAAATTCTTGATCAGTCAGGGAATCAAGGGTTACAGGGAAAAGGCAGGAAAGTGGATGTGAGGAAAGCCAGATCAACTGTGATTCTATTCAACGATGGAGCATGCCCAAGAGAGCTGAATGGCCTATGCCTGTTCCTATTTCTTAATGTCTCGATGCCCCCAGCTACATAGTTCTGGGGCCATGGGTTTAGGATTAACAGTGGAAAAGGGCCGACATGTTGCAATGTGTGGAAACTCGATTTCAAAGTTGGGTCGTCCATCCCATGCCCTGTGTTCCCCTCTGCGTTAAATATGGAAAACATTAAAAACGTATCTGCAAGACTGCATTATAAAACCAAGCCCGCTTTCATTATTACTGTGTTTGCCACCATCCGTCATTCCAAAAGGAGGTTTTGCTTCAAGTTTACCATGCAACCATTGCCAAGAAGATAGGGCCAGGTTGCAGGGTAGACCCACCCTATCCTCCTCACTAAACCAGACCACCACCACCAACACCCCACCTTCCCCCAACTGAGGGTCTTGCAGAACATTGAATGAGGCCGTGGGACATTCATTCCAGCCGTTATCTATTTCCTCGGCTACACATGGTTTAAAGACGAGGACAATCTGTTGTGTGTGATTTATTCCAGATTGTCACAGACTCCCTCGGTTAAAGCATGTTTTTCACGTGATCTGATACAGGGATATGGGGACAGAGAGTGGGACGGTGAAACTAACGTGGGGCCTGATACAGGCCCATGGAGAGAGACTGGAGCTTTGGGATGAGTTGGGAATTGAGTCAGGTGTACTGGGACAGCATGGAGCAGCGGGATGAGTTTGGGTTTTGCAAGAGGAACAGTCACGTTCTCTCTGCGACGTGGCTGAACTCTGAGCTACTGGGCTTGCGGGTTCAGCCAGGAGATTGGGCGTCAATTCAGCCTCTTTTTTTCTCCCCACCCCCTACCCCCTCCCCCCTCCCACCTCGCTGGATCTTCCGATGTTGCATCTCTCTGACACACATTTTCAAGGTGAACTCTCAGGCTGAGGGGCATTATCTCCAGCCTGTGTTCCCACCCACAAATCCAAAACTCGAGGACAAGTTAAGTGAGTGGGTAGACACAACGCAGGTGCAGTATAATGTGGATAAATGTGAGGTAATCCACTTTGGTAGTTAAAATCAGAAGGCAGATTATTATCCGAATGGGGATAGATTGGGAAAAGGGAAGATGTAATGAGACCTGGGTGTCCTTGTATGCTATTCACTGAAAGTAAGTACGTAGATGCAGCAGGTTTTGAAGCAGGTAAATGGTACATTGGCTTTCATAGTGAGAAGCTTTGAGTACAGGGGCAGGGATGTTTTGCGACAACTGTTGAGACCACACCTGAGGAAGGATGTTGTGGAGATGGAGGAAGTGCAACAAAGGTTTACCAGACTGATTCGTACGATGTTGGGACTGATGTATGAAGACAGACTGGGTCGTTTAGGACTATATTCACTGGAGTTTAGAAGAATGAAGGGGGCTTTCTCACAGAAACCTATAAAATTCCAAAAGAACTAGACAGGGTAATCACAGAAAGAATATTCCCGATGATCAGGGAGTCCAGAACCAGGGGTCACAGTCTAAGGATACAGAGTACGCCATTGAGGACGGAGATAAGGAGAAATTTCTTCACCCAGAGAGTGGGGAGCCTGTGGAATTCTTCACCACGGAAAGCCATTGAGGCTGAAACAATGAATGTTTTCAAGAAGGAGTTAGATGTAGTTCTTAGGGCTAAAGGAATCGAAGGTAAAAGCCAAAAGAGGGGACTGAGTTGAATAATCAGCCAAGATCAGCAAGGCCACCTATGTATGGAACCACAGGAGATGGGGGAAAACACTAAACAAATATTTTGCATCGGTGTTTACTGTGAGAAGGATATGGAAGATAGAGAACATGGTGAAATAAATAGCAATATCTTGAAAAATGTCCATATTACAGAGGAAGAGGTGCTGGACGTCTTAAAACGCATAAAGGTGGATAAATCTGCAGGACCTGACCAGGTGTATCCTAGAACTCTGCAGGAAGCAAGGGAAGAGATTGCTGGGCCCCAGGCTGTGATATTTGTATCATCGATAGCCACAGGTGAGATGTTGGAAGACTGGAGGGTGGCTAATGTTATGCCATTATTTAAGAAAGGTGTTAAGGAAAAGCCATGGAACTGTAAAACCAGTGAGCCTGACATCAGTGGTGGGCACATTGTTGGAGGGAATCCTGAGGGAAAGGAGTTACATGTATTTGGAAAGGGCAGTCAACATGGCTTTGTGTGTGGGAAATTATGTCTCACTAACTTGACTGAGTTTTTTGAAGAAGTAACAAAGAGGATTGATGAGGGTAGAGCGATGGACATGATCTATAGGGTTCCTCCTGGCAGACTGGTTAGCGAGGTTAGATCACACAGGATACAGGGAGAACTACCCATTTGGATGCAGAACTGGTTCAAAGGTAGGAGACAGAGTGTGATGGAGGAGGGTTGCTTTTCAGACTGGAGGCCTGTGACCAGAGGTGTGCCGCAAGGATCAGTGCTGGGTCCACTGCTTTTCATCATTTATATAAATGATTTGGATGTGAACATAGGAGGTATGGTTAGTAAGTTTGCAGATGACACCAAAATTGGGGGTGTTGTGGACAGCGAAGAAGGTTACCTCAGAGTACAACAGGTCATTGA